ACCCCAACCTTCATAATTTAAACATCCCACCTATATTAGAAAGAAAAAAAAAGACTTTGTTAATTATCACTAGTGGAGAAGAAATTTCGTACATAAAAAATATTTTCTATTTTTTCTATTCTATTTGATTATGTGTTGTAATTGTAAATTAATTATTATGTTTCAGTTGTATTCAGTTATGTTTTTACTCCTTATTTGAAAACAAGTTTGTTTATATATATTTAAGTTATTACCAACGCGTTATTGATAACTGATAATTAAGAATGATGAGTAAGGTTGTCAAACCAATTTACAACGTTATGTCAGTTTAGCAAGTGGTATGCTTAGATCGAGAAACAAACATTTTATATTTTGAATAACAAAATATTGAGGAAGTGAGAAATCATTAAAACCAAATGAATTGTGGGTTTATTAACCTATATATTAAGATGCTCTTATGTCAACTATTATTGGCAAGTTCAATCCCTTGCAAATCATCTGCCTCGCCCTATGATCTTAAGACAATCTACTTATAATCTTCATCAATATGTAAATAATATATTACATTACAAACAAATGACAAATCATCATATGTAAATGCAATATTTACCGCCAACATCTAACAGTTTAGACTTGAATCTAGTAGATAAAATCAATATCTAAGTGTTCATATATGAATTCGACATATTTGTATTTTTTTTGCTAGTTAATTCCACCAAAGCGACATTATTTTTTAGGGATAAAATTTTGAACATTCCAGTAGTATCACTCTTTTCTCGATTTGATTGTTTTTGTTACCATTTTTTACTACCTCTAGTCTTTTAGCCTATTTCTGATATACAAATGGTTTTACACCTATGGTGAGGAGGTTTATGAATACAATTACCAATGGTTTTGTAATTAATTATTAGTTTATGCGCCTATTCTTTTTAAGGTATTGATTTTTTCTCTTACAATTGATGAAAGATAGGTCATTATCCCTATCTAAAAGTTTGAAGTTCAAAACCAATAGAAATATAATTTCTTTTTTATGTGTTTATTCCCGACTAACGATAAAAAAGAAGAGATTATTGATGAAATGCATGAGAAGAAGGAAGAATTTTTTTTTTAAGTTTGAAGGAAGAGATTGTTGATGGTGAATATAAAATTTTCATTAATAAAGATGAAACTTCATGGTGAAAATGGTTTTCATGGTGGAGCAATCACAAAGAAGTCCAAAGAAAATTCGATATAACGAAGAGTAAATTTAAATGTATTATTTAATTTACTCTTGAATGATTTGTGTTTTTTACTTTTGATAAGGTCTTTTGTCCATTAATGATCAAGATGCCATAAAACTTATGATGTATGGAGTTTTTTTTTAATATTTTCAAAAGTTGAATAATTTGGATTCTTTCATCCTATCAAATAAAAGCGTAACTTCGTTCAATCAATTACTATTATTATTTAAATTATTATTGTAACTCATCCGGCCAACGGGCGGGTCCAAATCTATTTATAGAATAAATTGAGAACCCTACTCGGGAGTAAAGAATTTAATTAGGATACTAAGCAAAAACGTACACATTAACCGTTTGTCGTCTGCCATATGCATAATTGTAGTTGTAGATTCAATAGAACTTTGAAGTGAGCCCAACCTAAATATTTGCTACCCACCAATCTCCGAAACAAATCAGTAACTTGGGCCCACTTAAGAAGTGGGCCTAGTCCAATAAGAGGGTTAGATTAATGGGTTATAGGTATAATATGTCTCTCTACTATGTTGTTTTATCAAATGTGTCTCTCTACTATTTTTTACATCAAACATGCACTTGTACTTTGGAAAAATTATCAAACATGCCCTTATGTTCAAATTTTCATCCAAAAATCGTTAACCACGATCAAACTTTGATTTGGGAGACACAAATGTCTAAAATACCCCTAATAATTTCACTTTAGAATTTTGTTTGGTTCTTTTGTATAGCCAAATGATTCTTATAATTTCACTTTAACGAGACCCGGGAAATAAAGTAGGGGACAAAACTGAAAAATTTCCCTCCCATTTGCCGATGTCGGGTCGTCTAAATCTCGGTTCAACCATGATTGATGATTTTTCAACGAGAATTTTAACAAAAGGGCATGTTTGATCATTTTGTCAAAATACAAGGGCATGTTTGATGTAAAAAATAGTAGAGGGGCATGTTTGATAAAATGACATAGTAGAGGGGCATATTATACATATAACCATAGATTAATCTGAGATGTTTGCTAGGTTGACCACAAATTGCCCTCCATGGTCAAATGTCCGGAGTAGCTCCAGTGAGGAACTTAGTCGGTTACTAATCTACACAATAAATAAAAGTCAAATGAGAAAACTTGAAGCTCCATTTCAAATTTCATGCATCCATAGCGAAAGTAGGAAGGACATTTTGGTCTTCACAATTACTTTTTTTTATTCATTAAAAAGACACTTACTAGGATTCAAACCATGACCACTTTAAAGAAAAGCAAAGATCATAACCAATCACACTAAGTACATTTGTTGTATCTTTTTAAATTAAAAACATATAATCGCAGAGAGGAAAAAACTATTCCCCCATTTCAAATTCCTTGCTTCAGGAGCGTTTGTAGGAAGGGTATAATAGGGAGTGTCAATTTTTTTTCTCTGTGGAACGGGCCAACTTATCGTACACATGCGGATTTAAATGGGTCCAGGAGTGTCAATTTGTTTTTCTTTAAGTCCTTTTATTTCTCCGTGGTGGTAAAATATATATGAAAAGGCAAAAACAATACTCCTTTTTATTGCTAAAAAGAAAAAAAGAGTTGAATAAAAGAGTAAAAATATATATGAATTCTAATGGGCTAACCGCTAATCATAAAATAAAAGAGTTGAATGGGCCTGACCTACACGAGATTTGCCCATCAAGTAAAACAAATGAACATCATGAGTTTGTCATTCTAAAACAAACTATTTTCTCTAGCATAATATATATTATGCTATTATTTTATATCTTAGTGGCTAAAATATAATATATTTTAAATTTATTCAATGGTTCAACCTCAACCAACCCAATTAGTACAATTTTTATCATTTCAAATATATATTATGTAATTATTTGATATCATAATGATTAAATTATAGTGTATATTATAGGGAATCGTTTGGTATTTGTTAGTAACAAACTAAACATAAAGATCTATTTGGTTATTTTTAACATTAAAACGATCCTAAACATTTTCAGTTTCCTTTCAAAATTCTATAGTTTTATTCTCGAATCAGTGATGTGCAAATGGCGAATTGCAGTCATCTTTTTTCTTTCATTATTTTTTTATTTTCAAATAGAAAGTTTAAAGGTAAAGAATAATTAGAGTTTGGCATGGGTTGGACAAACAGGCCGAATTTCAAGTTTTGGCCCGTTTTGATCAAGTCTAATTTATAATCACATGGTTCCCTGATACCCGATTAAAATCTCAATCCAATCCAGTTTGGCAGGTGATTCCGTGTTTACCACCATTTTCTAGGGATACAGGAACGGTGGTTCCTATCCCAAATCGTGTTGTTCATTCTTAATTTCTTTAGATTTTATCATGGCTTGGTAAAAAACCAGAAAGCACAACGATGACAAGATGAAAGTTTTATAAAGCAAATTAATCGGCCAACATGCCGAGTAAAAGCTAGCAACGATTCTGAGATGCTCATTTCCCGAGAACCAGTCGGATATGCGATTTTTTATTCGATTTTCTAGAATTCGATTTCTATAAAACTTACTCCACCTCATCATATTACCAGAAACAATATTGTTTCACAAGGTAACAGGTACTTGATTTTGGTTCATAAGGCTGATTTTTGATTCGTTGCATCATTCATGTCTCTTTCCTACTAAAATTCACTATTTTTATCACGTGTTTCCAAAAAAAAAAACTATACAACAATAAGCTATACACCCCATTATATTATCAAATTTCATACCTCACTTTCCTCCGGCCAAATGATCGGGGCCACGCTAGTTAGTAATTATGCATACCTAATTTCTTAACTAAACTTAAAGTGTTGTTTCTTTTTCATTTTAAGTCAAAATTATTTTTTCTCTGCACAAAAAAAATCACATTAATCGTGCCAACAACATTTGTTCTAGTGGTTCTAACTTCTATCAATGGTCTTTAACCTGCAGGTCCAACTTCAAACCCTTTAGAGCACTCACATCAATGCAATTGCAAAAACAAATTGCATATGTAGTTTTAATTGTCACCTCACAATTTATGAAACCCAACTCATATTAATTTCATACTATTTACATCAATGCAATTCACTCGCAATTACATTTACGATGGACCCAAATAATTTTATAAGAAAATAAATTAATGAATGGAAAAATAAATAAAATATATATTTTAATTCGAGTTAAACAAATTAGATACAAATAGATTAAAAACATAGGGGAAAAAATGAATTTATTTAAATCTCATCATTTAGATATGATCACACTAAAAACCAAAAGATTAGATATGCAGAAATGCGAAAACCAACCTACCCTAAACTGTGAAGTATCGTATTCTAATTTATTGGTTACAAATCTTATATTTGTGTGATCATCCGTATGTGGGAAATGTAAAGGTAATACATCAAAATAAGCTACTGATCCTAAGTTAATGCGATTATTTGGCATTTTTCCAGTATCGTGGCAAATTCTTGCAAAATCGACGCAAATATAAAGTGCAGCTGACAACAATTAGGCAATAAAATTGTCTAAAGTCGATCATTGTATGTGTAGTTGGACCTGAGATGAGATGCATAAAATATGGGTTTGGAATTTGGATTACTCTACATCTTCAAGTCTCTCAACCAAGTAAGCAACCATCCATGCATATGGAGAAATTTCTGTTGGAAAGTCAATGAGCAAAAGTAGAACAACAACTGTCATTATCAACCAAACCTATCAAGACTCCATCTCTGTAAAACTCGCGAAAGAGTCGAGCTTCCTGCCACCATCAATTATAGCTAGATATAACTAACAAGAGAACAAGCAAAACTGCTTAGGAGAACAAAAGTAGTATCTATATTATCTATAATATGGTACAGAAGATGTGCATGTAAGTACATGACACTTTTAAGGAAAATCCAATGCATAATCTGCCTTCAAATAATTTCCCCACTGTTCTCCCCCTTTACTGTTTCCTATTTCCCCCATTGCCTTCTTCTTCCCCTTTACAAATCAGCAGATCACAAGCTGATATATAAGAAGACAATGCTATGACACTACCTTGAATGAATGCAAACAATTTGACATGAACAGCCACAAATGGGAGGGGCACTGTACAAATTTTCATGCCTTTTGTTTCTTCTTCTCAGGGATGGCTGGCTACCAGAACATATCATCAACTCCTACTGCCCTAGATGGAAGATCATCTTCCTCCTCCAGCTCCATCTCCGGCTCAGGAGAACCGAACTATGGCGACTCGATATCAGCAAGATTCTTCAGATCGACTATCGACAGCTCATGTAGCCTCCTCACCACCATGTCGGCAGCACTAAGTTCATAAACCGGGTGCTTGCTGGCAACAGCAACACACTTCATCCTCACATCATGAGCAGCCTCTACGCTTCGATTCGAGTTGCCAAACACAATGCACCTCTCGGGTATGAACTGCAACAGCTGTGCAGCGTACATAAACATCTCCGGGTCAGGCTTCCCTCTGTGAACATCTTCAGCTGCTACAATCACGGTGAAATAGCCCTCGATCCCGATCTTGCCAATTGCGGTCTCTAGTGTCTTCCTAGGTCGAGTGGAGACCAGTGCCATGGGTATCTTGTAATTCATCAGCACTCTCACAAACTCTTTCGACCCATCTCGAAGCTGGTATATACCCCCACCTTGCAAGCCTTGATAGATGTCTTCTTTTCTGGATGACATTCTCCTGAGCTCTGAGGGATCTCTTGACCAACAGAGGACTTCCGACATTGCCTGCTCGTTCTTCATCCCTTCTACTCGCTTTAGTAAGAAACCAGGTGGAGGGGATTTGCCTTCCTCCTGAGCTAGAGCAAGCCAGGATTGTTTCTCGAGTTCTGCATTATCTTCAATTATGACACCTTCCCATTCGAATATGGCACCTAACCAACCACAGCCCATTCTTTCTTGTCTGAGCAAAGGGTTGTGCAGGGAAGCATTGTCAGCTCGATTCTCTGGTGGCCACAGACCTGGTTTTCTGTCGACATCTGTATCCTGACCATGGTTCCAGTTTCGTGGGATCTTCTCATCTTCTTTGAATGCATAGGCCTCCTTATTCCTTAGGTCTGTGGCTAAGGCCTTGATTGATGTGTTCAATGAAACGTTACTGAGGCCAGAATTAAGGCAATAGGGAGCCAAATTGACGACCTTCCTGCCCATAAACTCGGTTAGAGGCAACCTACAGTCGTAGGAACGTTGCTTTCTCAAGGAAGAAGGATCTTTAACCGAAAATCCCCAAACAAACGGCCTGTACCCAGCGATGGAAGTTGCTGCAATTGATTCTGCCATGCTCACAAGATGCAATTACAAACACCTGCTGCTTCAGAGGCCCCCCTTTTACCTTCCAAACTCAAAGAAGGAAGACCCTTGTTCTCCGATTGTAATCCGATTCCACAGGCCCTAATCCAAAACGCTAGGTATTAAAAGACAGTAGCTTTTGTTTTAGAAAGAACTGATAAATTTCAAGCAAAACTAGGAAACCATTTGTCTGAATTACAACTACTATACCAGCCAAACTAAGCACAACCCAAGAACCAAATCCGCGAAAGCAGCCAACAACTCAGAATCCCCAAATCCAGAAAGAGAAAAACAAGTATACACAGTAATAACACCCGCCAAATTAACAAAAAAGTTGCGGCCTTTTCGATCAAAATTAAAGTAAAGAGGCGGAACTCTAAAACGCTATTCGATGGATATCATATATAAAGAAACAGGACGAATGCAAACGGATAGGAAGAAAGAAGAAGGAGAACAGGGGTCATTAGAAACCTGGAAGCAGAAGATCAGGTAGAATTGGGAGCAGGAGGAGGAAGAAGAATCAATGGAGGAAACAGGCAGTATTCCTTCTTTGATGACAGAAAGACGGGGGGAAATTATGGAAATGGTTTATGGATATGGGAAATGAATCTGCGTGGGTGAGTTTTTGGTTTGTTGGAGAAGGATTCGGCAGAATGCAGCAACCAGGGGCTTTCACTGAGAATTTTATTGCAACTTTTATTTTTCCATTTTCGGAAGAATGCAGCAACCAGGGGCTTTCCCCCCTAATTTTCATTTTTCTGTGGCTTATAATTACGACAAGGGAGAGGGTGACGGGTAGGGATGGCAATGGGTCGGGTTGGGGCGGGTTTTGTCAAACCCAAACCCAAACTCATGGGTTTATCCGTAAAAAAAACTCGGGGTAAAACTCGTTGGGTTTTATAAACTCAAACCCAACCCAACCCGCTGGGTATCCGCGGGTTCATGGGTACCCGTGGGTTTTTGTGGTAAAAAATTTACAATAACAAGTTTTTTTCAAAATAAAAGTTTAACATCAATTTTCTCATACAAATTAATCATACAAAAAAACACCAATCTAGACCATACTAGCAAACCGCAAATGATCAATACAAATTGTTCAAAATTAAAGATAAACATCTATAAACAAAAGATTAATTGAAAGCTTCTTCTTCGTCGACTAAGTTTCTTCACTCTCCACTTCATAATATCAACTTCATTCTAAACAATTAGAAATAACAAATTATACATGTCTCCACAAACATAAAGAATATTAATTGTTTAAGGAAAATATATTATTTAGAATATTAAATATACCGGGAAAGTAATTATATGTGTGTGGGCGGGTACCCATGGGTCGGGTTTACCTAAACCCAAACCCAACCCGACCTGGTGAATAGTGTAGGGGGTTTAAACCCGAACCCGGCCCAAAACCCGTCAACACGGATTTTACCCGCGTTGACCGGGTTGTGTCGGGTGGGTACCCGTGGGTTCGGGTTTTGTTGCCATCCCTAGTGACGGGCGAGGCCGGTGGGGGTGATCACAGCATTGGACACGTGTCGGTGAATGAAGTACACACGTTGCCAGGTTTCTTTCTTCATTTGTGACTTGTGAGATACTTCTACATGATGATTATTTGCTAATTTTATGCTTAGCACCCAAGTGTGATTAAACCTTATTAATGTAATTGACATATTCCATCCCTTAACTAATGATCTTGTACTTATGGATCCAAACAACCCAGAGAGTGCTTTCTTATAATATATCAAATGTGATCAAATTCACATGTCAGATCATATTTTCATGAACTCACTCTATCTTTTTTGTTTAGAGGTGGTTTTGATGGATCTTTCTGATGAGATAATTTGGTCTAGTTGGCTCATTCCATCTTTTTAATATGAGGTAATTTAATCCCATTTGCCTCAAAGTTCAAGCTCATTGCATCATAAACCAATTGAAAGTGTAACAAACTTGTATATGCGAATTCTATAGTACATATGATTATAGAGAAGATAATTCCTTTTAAAATCATATATTCTACAAGGGTCACAGTGTGCAATGTTAGGCATTATATACCATTGATTGGGGTGACTTGTAAGTGGTAACCATATCATGTCTTTTACATTTTGTTTTCAAAAAAGGGAAGTAAAAAACCAACATTTGATGGGAAAGTTGGATACAATGTGTGTTGTTTATGGATAATAAATTAATAACTTAATTAATGTGTTATTGGTTTTCACCCAGCAATTGTGTTGTGACTGTTGTCCCTTTATTAAGCTCAAGCTTGATGAAACCAAGCATCCTCGAAAAAATACATATGCTATATGCAGCAGTATACATAAAAAATTATCAACGTTCACCATTTAATGAAGAAACGAAAATACTTGCTAATTCTATAGCTACTGCTAACTATGCTAACGGCTAATTACCAATCACTGAATGAACTACTACCATTATTCCACACCTGAGAGTCGACAGGGTTAGAGACCAATTCCTGATGAAATGCAGTATTGCCTATACAATAATACCTAACTTCTTCCTTGAGTTGAAGCAACAACTCCTTACTTTTCCTGATAGCTGTGAAAACTCTAGCACATCTCTCCTTCCACATTAAAGCCACATATAAACACCAAATCACTCTAATTAATCTGCCCCCTTGCGATATCAAGTGACATAGCTGCTGCATCATCCCCTCCCAGTTTGCGGACCACAAGATACTTGGAAATAACTCCTGTAATAGTGTCACAATATAAGAGCAATTACAGAACAGATGGTCATGAGTTTCAAGTTCAGTACGACAAAGTAAACATCGATCGGATTCTGCAATACCTCAATCTTTTAGTTGCACTCGAGTCTTGATCCGATGATGCATGACTAACCATGTTAAGAATCAATGCCTAGGCATATTAATCTTTCCCCACAATACTGAGTACCACCTCGCTACTTGATTTCTAGGTTGAATAGTCTGCCATACAGCTCGAATGGAGAAATTCTCTAGTAATTTTCCCTCCCAAGTGACTCCAGCTTCTCCTCTTATCAATCGATACTAAAACCAGGATCTCAACTAAAGAAGTTTTCTCCATAGCCAAGAACCAGTTTGCGTATCAGGAATTAACCACAGTGATCTCCCTTTTAACCTGTGCTTCTCGATCCAAGCCACCCAAAATGAGCCCCCACGCATGAGAAGCATCCAAACCACACACATGCCACATTCAATGTGTATAGGTCTCGCAATCCTAATCCTCCCTCCTTCTTAGGCAAACACGTGAAATTCCATCTGGCTTTGGCCCTCCCAATACCTCACCATTCTAGAGAAAATCATAGTAGACATTTTAAATACGATTGATAACTTTCTTTAGCAGCATAAAGATTGTCATCCAGAAGTGGGTGATGGAGTAAAAAACTGAAGAAATCAATTGTAGTTTCCCAACATAGGTTAGTTTGTTGGCACGCTAATATTTAATAAGCAAAACCGAAATCATTAAGACGCTTAACGTTTTAAAACCAATAAACCATACAGACAGCCCTAATGAAACGACATTGCATTAAGGACGAACCGATTGGTTAGGACTAATGGACCAGACTAACGAAGAGAAGTTGTGTGTTCGTGTATGGAATATGGAAAGGGGGTTGTTATTTGCAACCCATCAGATTACTATATGCCGCTCACAACTTATGTGAAAAAGTAAATTTTGCCCTTTTTTTTGGAAAAGTATGTTTTAGTGAATTAAAATTCCATCAACACAAATTTTTGAGCGAAAATAATTTTTTTGACAAACAAATAATCGACACAAAAAACTATAAATGAAAGAAAAATAGAAAAACAATTTTTAGGCGAAAAAATCACTTTACGAGCAAAAATACATTTTCCTGGCGAAAAAGTACTTTCAGGCGTAAACCCCCAATTCTCCGGATCGCGCATTTAGCGACGATTTTCATATCGTCACTAAATATCGTCGCTAAATGTTAATAATTATTTAACACAATCTTTAATTTATTTAAATAATTATATTATGTTATGTTATATGTATTTTTAGAAATTATATTTATGAATTAAAAATAAACATAAATTATAAAAAAATATTTGTACAAATTAATTGATGCTTATTTTTTTTAATTATGTAAATAGTTCTAAAATAAGTAAATTAAGTATAATAGCAATTAAATAATTATAGTAGAATATTTACAAATGTTGTAAAAAAATATTTAGTCATAAATTATCATAAATATTGTAAAAAATATGAATAATTCATTTTAATTATGTAGAATATTTACAAATGTTTAATTTTTTTGATTAAACCTTTTAAATTGTATTTATTTTATAGGTAATTAGATCATCATCCCTAAACTATGTTTTATAAAACTTCTAAGGAATCGGGGCACATAGAGTGCTCTTGGTGGCTTGCGGAAGGTCGAGCAAAAAATCTTTTCGCAATTACTAGAGTTACCTACATGAAAAATTATTGAAACCATCATTGATTTCTCAAAATGTGGATACAAATGTGTTGCAATCGACCATTTCTTGATCGAACATTCTTGGCAAAAAGAGATAAATAGTGCCAAAACTTCCATCGAGATTTTTGGGGGCTCTGAGGGTGGTAACTAGGAGTTTCTTGATCCAATCATGTATATTTCCATGATGAGAAAGATTGTTGTTAGTGGAGGCAAACACGATTTGGCCTCTAAAATAATGACATAGTAGGATTGGATGGATTGAGGTTCAGGGTAGTTTAGAATTAGGGTTTAGGGTTTGGTATATGTCATCTTGAGTTAGATTGATTCAATTGTGGTTAAACCTTTTCCTAATTGGTCAAAGTCAAATCCTAATTGTCAAAGGTTAACCCTATTTTTTCAAAGTCAAACCCTAATTCTAATCGGTAAAATTCATACCCTACCCTGCTCCCCCATTTCAAATTCCCTGCTCCAGGAGCGTTTGTAGGAAGGGTAGAATAGGGAGTGTCAATTTTTTTCTCTTTCCTCTGTGGAACGGGCCAACTTACCGTACACATGCGGATTTAAACGGGTCCAGGAGTGTCAATTTTTTCTTTAAGCCCTTTTATTTCTCAGTGGTGATAACATATATATGAAAGGCAAAAACAATACTTCTTTTTATTGCTAAAAATAAAAATTTAACAATAATTTAATGCATGGTATCTAATGGGCTAACCACTAACCATAAAATAAAAGAGTCGAATGTGTCTGACCTACACGAGATTTGGCCATAAAGTAAAACAAATGAACATCATTGGTTTGACATTCTAAAACAAGCTATTTCTCTGGCATAATATATATTATGTTATTATTTTATATCTTAGTGGCTAAAATATAATGTATTTTAAAGTTATTCAATGGTTCAACCTCGACCAACCCAATTAGTCCAATGTTTATCATTTCAAATATATATTATATAATTATTTGATATCATAATGATCAAATTATAGTGTATTTTATAGGGAATCGTTTGGTATTTGTTAGTAAAAAACTAAACAGAAAGTTCTTTTTGGTTATTTTAAACATTAAAACGATCCTAAACATTTTCAGTTCCTTTTGAATTTCTATGGTTTTATTCCCGAATAAGTGATGTGCAAATGGCGAATTGCAGTCATCTCTTTTCTTTCACTATTTTTTATTTTCAAATAGAAAGTTTAAAAGTAAAGAATAATTAAAATTTGGCATGGGTCGGTCAAACATGCTGAATTTCAAGTTTTGGCCTGTTTTGATCAAGTCTAATTTACAATCACATGGTTTCCTGATAC